GACAGAAAGGTGTTCCAATCTCTGTGTGACCTGCAGCATGTTTCTTAACCTCTCTGGGCCTTATTGTCCTCACTTGTAAAATGAAAATAATATCTACCTCTTAGGGCTCATATAAACATCAGAAACAATGTATGTAAAGTTCAAAGGATGCTGTTGGGCTTGTGGTAGGTGCTCAAAAATAGTAAGTACTATTATTATAGTAGTCATCGTTGTTGTTGAGGATCTGTTGTTACAACAGGAAGTAGAGATTGAAGTCAGAAGTCTGCCAGGAAAATTTTAACTGGTTGGTATTTCTCACATTAGTAACGCCGCTAGACATTTGACCAAAGCAGGTGAGACAACTTGAGGGCAAGGATGATAAACAAAAATGACTCACTCTCTCTACATTTCCACCCCCGATTTCCTGTGCTCTCCCTATCCAAACACTCCTCTGGAAGAAGTCTTGATAGTACCTTCTTAGGCTGTATGGAAAAGAATTGAACACAGTAATATCCTCAGCCTTGAAGATGTTCAGATTTACCCAGTGGGAAACAGTTTCATTCTTCAAATTATTTGCTGAATTAATCTAATTTTATTCCCATCCATCAAATTTTCAGGTTGGAAGAGGTCCTATCTGCTCTTCCAGTGTTGAGAACTAACTGATATAGCGTCATATTGGTGGAGCTCAAAATGTCACTGGCAATGCTGATGGGAGATCATGACTTTAGATCTATAGCCACATGGGCTTACCTTCAACCCAGCCCACTCAGTTCCTGGAATAGCTGGACAAGTCAAAGACTCTCCTATTTTTTGGCCCTTTAGTCTGGCCAAAAAATAGATTAGAGTAGAATGTCTGCCTCCTGAGGACTAACCTGCTCCAAAATAAGCCCAAAGAAGCTAACTGACCATACTTAATTCCTTCCACTAAATTTACCAACCAGAAACTCCTCTTCCTCCCAAGGGCAAGAATGGGTGGAGGTGATGAAATAGTCTAGGAAAGTTATAGTAGCAGAAATTCCTTTCTCTGTATCAAAACCTGAGTCCAGGATCACTCACAATGGGGGAAGCCAGCTGCCATGTCATGAGACTCTCAAGAAACCCTATGGAGAAGTCCTTGTGGTAAGGAATGGCAGCGTCCTGCTACCAACCAGCACTAGCTTGCCAGGCATATGTGTGAGCCACTTTGGAAACAGATCTTAGTCCCAGCCAAGCCTTCAAATGCCAGAGCCTATTGTGAGGCATAGGGTTTGTCAGGCAGATCAGATCTGCATTTGACAAGCAGCAAATCAATGAACTAGATACCTGCACAGCTGAAAGTGGAGGAAGAAGATACAATTGATGTGTTCGGCAGCAAAAAAGGAGGCATCTATTTAAAAAAGAGTACTTTCTAGCCAGGCATGGTGGTGCGTGCCTGTAATCCCACCTACTCAGGAGGCTGAGGCAGGAAAATCACTTGAACCCGGGAGGTAGAGGTTGCGGTGAGCTGAGATCATGCCATTGCATTCCAACCTGGGTAACAAGAATGAAACTCCATCTCAAAAAAAAAAGTACCTGCTACTTGAATCTAGAACTGTTCTACACAGACAAAGACACGTTCTCAGTTGGAAAACTACAATTTGGTTCCAGGATACCCTAACAACTAGAGTTTAGTTTTCTTTATTCTTTCATTTTCTCTTTCCACATTAATTTGTATGTCTGTGTACAAGTACACTGCTTTTGTTCTGGGGTTTATTAAATTGTTTTTACTAAATAGCCAGTGGTATGTTTTGATTGGCATCAGATGGAAGTGGGGTGGGGGAAAACTGTTCTTGTTAAAATGCTCCTTTTCTCCATTAATGGCATGGCAATTTAACTTTAATTTTTTTTTAATGAAAAGTCTCACATATTTATTACTGAACCCAGACAACCAATGTGTTCATAACTGATTCAGAGAGAAAAAATATATTCCCAATAAAACATGTCCAACTCTCCAGATAATGGTGAAATTTTCAGCTTGATATGGTAATGTGATTATGATGCTCACACAACATAAATATGTGTGCCATCTCATGTGCAATTACTAATAGACGCAGCTTAGTTCTTCTCCAATGTCTCCTTTTAGAGTTGTACCTGATTTTATTATCCGAATCCACTGGGGAATGGGACAATTTTACTTTTATTTCTTGGCCATGAGTCGCTTAATCCTGAAAGTCTTGTGAGAAGATCTGGTGAGAAGCAGAGTCAAGTACACACCACGATGGCAGAGAAAAAAAGAGAAGGGGCTTGACACCTTCTTTTTTCTTTTGAGACAAAGTTTTGTTCTTGTTGCCCAGGCTGGAGTGCAATGGCGCCATCTTGGCTCACTGCAACCTGCGCCTCATGGGTTCAAGTGATTCTCCGGCCTCAGACTCCTGAAGAACTGGGATTACACGTGCCCGCCACCATACTCGGCCAATTTTTGTATTTTTAGCAGAGACGAGATTTCACCATGTTAACCAGCCTGTTCTCAAACTCCTGACTTGTTTCTGCTATTAGCTGTCAGTCCTCTTCATTGCGGTATGAACAAGATTAATTTTTGTGTGTGTGAAACTGATGTGGATGGTCCACCTGCCGCTCCATGCATCAATTTCAACACTGTCTTGTCCCAACTCAAAATGAGTTCTCCATTTGCAAACTGTTGATTTCTTTTGGGCATCGTCTCCACAACCTTTTCATAAAGCATCAATGATTTCATTATTCCTCTACCCAAACTTTACCATAAGTATTCTTTTTTTGAGACAGTATCTTGCTCTGTCACCCATACTGGAGTGCAGTGGCATGATCACAGCTCACTGCAGCCTCGACCTCCCAGGTTCAGGACATCTTCCCACTGCAGACTCCACAGTAGCTGGCCCTGTAGGCATGTGCCACCATGCCCAGCTAATTTTTGTATTCTTTGTAGAGAAGGGGTTTCACCATTTTGCTCAGGCTGGTCTTGAATCCCTGGGCTCACGGGACCCACCTGCCTTGGCCTCTGAAAGTGCTGGGATTACAGGCCTGAGCCACTGCATCTGGTCTCATTGTAAATTTGATGTTTCTGCTTGTTTCAATTTTAGCAGACTTTATATTGCTTTGATGGCGTCTCTTTTCAAACTCATGTCTTACCCTTCTGAGTGCCTCAAACTAGAGTCTGTTCAGATATAACAGATTTGTAGCAATTTATTTTGGTGCAAAAAGTGTGGAATTCATGCACAATTTTCTCATAATACGTATTTTTCTATGAGCTGCTTGAAGACCCCTTGTACTGGAAAACAGTATTCAAAAGGATATATAAAAGGATGGTAGATATGCAAGTGCCACTTACTTCTGGGATGCAAGGATGATTCAACATATTCAAGCAAATCAATATGATATACCACTTGAAGAGAATGAAAGATGAAAACACATCATCTCAATAGATGGAGAAAAAGCATTTCACAAAATTCAACTTACAGTCATCATAGAAATCCTAAACAAAATAGATAGAGAAGGAAATTTACCTCAACAGTAGAAATAACCAAGCAGGCAAAATGGAATGCTTTTCCTGTAGGATCTCACATGATGCAAGAATGCTTTCACCGTTTCTATTCAATAAGTACTGGCTGTCCTAGCGAGAGTAATTAAATAGCAAAAGAAGTAAAACTCATCCAAATCAGAAAGAAAGAAGTAAAATTGTATTTGCTTGTAGATGACATGATATTCTGTGTAGAAAATCACAATCAGCCAAAATACTACTGGAACTAATAAACACATTCAGTGTGTTTGCAGAATAAATTATCAGCACCAAAAATTAGGTGAATTTCCATATATAATAATAAACAATTTTAAATGAAAATTTAAAAACACTTCCGTTTGCTACAGAACTTAAATAAACACTTAGGCATAAATGTAAAAAGCTGAGAATTTCCTACCTTGAAATCTACAAACATTGATCAAAATGATTAAAAACGTATATAGAGATACAACCCATGTTGATGGTTTGGAAAAATTAATATTGTTAAATGATTGTATAACCCAATGTGATTTAGATTTAACACAATACCCATAAAAATCCCCATCAGTTTTTGTTAAACAAAAAACAGGCTGGGAAGAGTGGCTCATGTCTGTTGGCCAGGCTGGTCTCAAAGTCCTGACCTCAAGTGATCTACCCACCTTGGCCTCCCAAATGCTGGGATTACAGGCGTGAGCCACTGCGCCTGGCCCAATCCTCTTAACATAAACACTTTAATGTCAATTAATGCTTGAACTCAATGTTTTAAGTCAACTCAAACTCAAGTCAATGCTGAATTGACTCTAATGTCAATTAATCCTTGCTATACTCATTGCATTTGGAACTATTACCTCAAAAATGAATTCTCTGATATTCTGCAAGTAGTGACCTCAGACTGAAGACCTTGCCACACATATGACATTTGTAAGATTTCTGCCCATTATGGATTCTCTGATATCTACTGTGGTGTGAATGCGAAGTAAAGGCTTTGCCACAATCATCACATTCGTGAGGTTTCTCTCCTGTATGAGATCACCAATGTGGCTCAAGCCTGTAATCCCAGCACTTTGGGAGGCCGAGACAGGTGGATCACAAGGTCAGGAGATCGAGACCATCCTGGCTAACACGGTGAAACCCCGTCTCTACTAAAAAATACAAAAAACTA